CCTCTCTCCATCCTGTGGCCTCTTTGGCGGCCCTGTCGACAGCTTCGTTTCCTGGGATGCCGGTGTGGGCTGGGATCCACCTTATTGTCACTGGCTCGCTATGCGGATCACTACTTCGGCTAGCGGTAAGCGATCCCGCACGCCTTACGTAGTCAGCTCTAGTGTAATTTACTAACTGTGGCTAAAGAACATGTGGCTGTGCAGCGCCGCCTGTGATGCAGCAGCGCTTAGCTATGCCAGCCCTCTCAGCCTTGTGCAGCTGACAATGGATCGCAGCACTACCCTGAGCCTGGCAGCGGCCTAACAGCTCCATCAGCCTACGGCGATGCGAAGCGCGATCGATCAGTTAACTTCATCGCGGTTGCAGACCTCGCATCATGGACGGCCTTTCGGGCGCAGCAAGCGTCATTGCGGTAGTCGATATATCCGCCAAGATCGTCTCGCTATGCTTCCAGTACTCTACAGCTGTCAAGGATGCAAAGGATGATATCGAACGTGTGCAGAGAAAAGTTGGCGACATCACCCACGTTCTGGAGAAGATCAAACAACTCCTCGACGGCCAGGACAAGGCGCGACTCTCTACCACTCAGGGCCTGTTTAGCTCGCTCGAACAATGCCGAGAGGAGCTGAAGAGCCTAGAAGCAAAGCTAGATCCAGGAAAAGCCCGCAAGACTATAAGCCGATTCGGCTTCCATGCGCTCAAATGGCCGTTTACGAGCAAGCAAGTGGACAAGATCGTTTTGAACCTAGAAAGATACGAGCAGACATTCAGCTCGGCACTGCAGGTCGATCAGATGTAAGCTTCCGTAGCCAGATCTGCCGTACGCAGACCCAACTTCTCACTGACTATACAGAGTCGCTATTTTCAGCATAGACCAGAAGCTGGATCTGGCCAAACTGCCTGTCGCGATAGGCGCCTCCTTCAATTCCCACAACGAAGAGCACAACGCACGATGCCTACCGAACACCCGCACCGAGTTGCTAGACGAGATCACAACATGGGCGAACAACAAAGATGGCAAGTCCATATTCTGGTTGAGCGGTATGGCGGGCACAGGAAAGTCAACAATTGCGCGGACGGTCGCTCAATCGTTCGCTAGTCGAGGGCAACTTGGAGCCAGCTTCTTCTTCAAGAAAGGCGAGGGCGAGCGCGGCAACGCTTCACGCTTTTTTACCACTATCGCCACTGATCTAGCCGCCTGCGAGCTGGGCATGCTAGTCGGGATTAAGAAGGCGCTTGATGAGGACTCGGCGATCTCACAGCGAGCTCTAAAGCACCAGTTTGAGAAACTAATCCTCCAACCACTCTTGGGCATACAACAGGCTCGTTCGCAGGTCTCGGCGCGTGTTGTCGTGATAGACGCGCTGGACGAGTGCGAGCAGGAAGCAGACATTCGGGCGATCCTCAAATTGCTTGCTCAAACAAAAGACATCCGCCCGGTGCCGCTACGGATCGTGGTCACCAGTCGGCCAGAGCTCCACATCCGCTTCGGCTCCAAGGAGATGTCAAACGGCACGTACCAAGACCTAGTGCTCCACGAAGTACTAAGGAGCACGATCGAGCATGACATCCGTCTGTTCCTAGAGCATGAGCTTGGCATAATACGAAAAGAACGCATGCTAGCCTCAGACTGGCCAGCCCAACAACATATTCTGGCGCTAGTTGAGTTAGCTGTGCCGTTGTTCATCTACGCTGCCACTGTGTGTCGGTATTATTATTATTAT